TTTGCCCTGCCATTTGCCAAAGATAAGTTCTAATATATGCTTTGAATTCCCTGTGATCTTTTGCTGTGAGGTTTCCTTCCTTTACCTTCTTTCATATTGATGACCGTGTTTCTGTGTTTCTGTGTGCAACACATCTTTAAGCATCTTTTGCAGGGCTGGACGAGTGGCGACAAATTCTTTCAATATCTCTTTGCTATGAAAGGTCTTTATTTCACCTTCATTCACAAATGATAGCTTTTCAGGATATAATATTCTGGGCTGGCAGTTTTTCTCTCTTAGTACCTGGGCTATATCTCGCCATTCCCTCCTAGCTTGTAGGGTTTCTGATGAGAAGTCAGCTGTGAGTCTGATTGGAGATCCTCTGAGAGTAATCTGACGTTTCTCTCTTGCACATTTTAGGATCTTTTCTTTATGTTTCACTGTGGTGAGTTTAATTACAACGTGTCGTGGTGAGGATCTCTTTTGGTCGTGTTTATTAGGGGTTCTGTGAGCTTCCTGTACTAGGATGTCTCTGTCCTTCTCCAAACCTGAGAAATTTTCTGCTAATATCTCACTAAAAAGGCTTTCTAATCCTTTCTCCCTCTCTATGCCTTCAGGAACTCCTAGAACCCGAATGTTGGTTTTTTTAATAGTATCCTGAAGATTCCCAACAATATTTTTTAGATTTCTAATTTCCTCTTCTTTTCTTTGGTCTGACTGTATCCTTTCCTGTTCTCTGTCTTCTAAGTGCGATATTCTCTCTTCTGCTTCACCCATTCTGTTTTTAAGGCTCTCTAATGTGTTTGTCATTTGATCTATTGAATTCTTCACTTCATTATTTCTCGTCACTATCACAGTTTCCTGTTCTACTAGTTGTTTCATTTCATTTTGATTCCTCCTTAATATTTCATTTTCACGAGAGAGATTTTCTATCTTGTCCATTAAGGATTTCTGTAGTTCAAGAATTTGTTTTTGAGAACTTCTCAATGTTCTTATCAATTTTTTGAGATCTGCTTCTTGCATTTCTTCTATCTCATCATCTTCATAATCTTGAATTGGGGTGTCTTTTTCATTTGGGGGCGTCATATTGACTTCCTTGTTTTTATTACCTTGGTTTTTGCGTTTGTTATTTGGCGTATTGGAGATATTTGGTTTCTTCACTGTGGTGCTTTTTCTTGTTATACTATGACTCTAGATTAAGTGGACTGTCTGTTTTTGATGGAGCCTTAGAGGCTTGAGATGGGTGTGGCCTGAGAGCTCTGTTCGGTGTGCCAAAGGTGACACTCCCAGGTTAGGCATGGTAGATCTCTCTCTCTTTCTTTCTTTCTTTTTTTTTTTGATTCAAAAGGGAAGTAATTCTGCACAGCTGAATGAAGTTGGCGGTAGTTAGCAGGCAAATGATATACCCACAGGAGCCAGAGATCGGAAACTCTTTCCCAAGGACCACACAGGGAATCTGTTTTGCCCTCAGAGTGGGCTCAAATTCTCCTTCAGTCTCCCACTGGGCTACCAAAGTTACGGAATTGTAGCATCTCTGGAGAGTACTCACGTGAATTCCGTGAATTCTCTCCTCCACCGTCTCTTTTTTCACAGTCTCAGTTCAGTAGCACCACAAATTCACTAAGTCCTAATGTCCTGTTAATTCACCCCGCCCAGAGTCAGGTTTTTCTGCTAGGCTCAGGGCCGGTGCAGACCTGAGGTCGCTCTGCTTATGACGTATGTCCAAGATGGCGCCTGCTCTTTGTCTTGCTCGCCTTTGAGAGGTGAGCGGAGAGAGAGAAACCCGTGTCCGTATCAGTCACTTTTCTCTCTCTCTCTCTCTCTCTCTCTCTCTCTCTTCTAGTTAGCCTGGTGAACTTTTCCCCCCCGGGGGTCGTTCCCTCTAGTCTCCTCTTTCCGCTTGCCTGCTGGTGTCTCGGGCTATTGAGGTTTGGCTCACCTTGCGTTCCAGCGCTGGTGTGTTGAGTCTGCCGCTGGTATCCCGAACTGTGGGCTCCCATGCTCTCCACGCAGGTCCACTGTGAATCACTCGTTCCGGAAGAGTTTCTTCTGCTGTTTCTTCCCCTACTCTTCCTTGAACCTGCAGTATCTCCACTTTTATTAAACTGTCTCTCCCCGGACTATCAGTGTGCTCCCTTCCTATTCCGCCATCTTGCCCTTCAGCTCTTTAAGGTTTTGTAATTTTCATCGTAGAGATCTTTAACGTCCTTGGTTAAGTTTATTCCAAGGTATTTGATTGCTTTTGTAGCTATTGTATGGGATTGATCTTAGAAGTTCTTTCTCAGCTGTGGTATTGCCTGTGATACAAAGGCTGTTGATTTTTCTGCATTGATTTTATATCCTGCTACTTTGCCAAACTCTTCTATGAGTTCCAATAGTCTCTTAGTAGAGTTCTTTGGGTCCCCTAAGTAAAGAATCATATCATCTGCAAAGAGGGATAGTTTGAGTTCTTCCTTCCCAATTTGTATCCCTTTAATTTCTTTTTCTTGCCTAATAGCTCTGGCTAGAACTTCCAGAATTATATTGAATAGCAGTGGTGAGAGTGGGCATCCCTGTCTGGTACCAGATCTCAGTGGAAATGCTTCCAACTTTTCCCCATTCAATGATGTTGGCCGTGGGTTTTTCATAAATTGCCTTGATTATATTGAGGAATGTTCCTTCCAAACCTAGTTTGCTTAGAGTTTTCATCATGAAAGGGTATTGTATTTTATCAAATGCTTTCTCTGCATCTATTGAGATAATCATATGGTTTTTCTTCTGCAGTCTGTTAATGTGGTGTATCACATTGATTGATTTGCAAATGTTGAATCATCCCTGCATACCAGGGATAAATCCCACTTGGTCTGGGTGGATGATCATAGGAATGGAAATTCAAATCAGTATGATAAAACTTTACTGGTATTGGGTTAGAAAAACATTGAAAAGTCTGTGCCAATGCCAATGTTCATCAGAGTAGAGAGCCATAGGAATTCTTATACACTCTGGGACACATGTGTTGGCACTTTGGGAAATGGCTTGGTGATTTCATATAAAGTTGAAGGAACTCAAATACCATCACTGCGCAGTTCTATATCCTGTGCATGCATGCTAAAATTCTCCCACAAAAGCACAAACACTTGTGGGTAGCATCACTTGTCAAAGGCTTACAAACTAGGACGAACTCAAATGCCCTTTGCTGGCAGAATGGTTAAATAAATCACATAACAAAATGATCTGTTCCCAGTAAAAATGAGTTAAATGGGGCTAGTGAATCAATATATGTCACTGTATAAGGCATTTTATTGAGCCAAAGTCGAAGCCACAGAAAACACATGCCATATGATTCTGTTGCTATGATGTGGCAAACCAGGCAAAACTAAGCAGTATATTATTTGAAGATACTTGATACTTGCCTATTTAGAAAACTATATTTAAAAACAAAAGTTGGGGTGGGTGCCGGAGTCCAGCACCAGCCAGTCCGGGGGTTCCCAAAGGTCTGAGAGGTGTCGGCGCAGGAAGAAATGAGACACACTCACAGCAAGGCTGATGGCATGGATCTGGCTCTAGAGCACCAGACTTCATTTTTATAGCATAAGTCACATAATGATTCTTCTTACAATAAAAAGTCTGTTGTCCATTTTCATCTTGTTACAATTTCTTTGATTTTCAAGGGCATAGTCAGAGCATGGGTTACAATCAGCAGGTGCGAGATAACGGGCTGCCCACACAAGCCAAGGCCTGGAGTGTTGTTGAGCTATGCAGAAATTGGCTACACAAGCTAGAATATTACCTTCCTAATCTAATCTTTACTAGAAGCCCCAGTGTTCAAAGCAGGCCCTTTTTTAAATGAATCCCCTCTTTTGCAGTTCTTTCTGTAACTCTTTAATTTCTCTATTGCACTCATCGAAAGGTTCACTTAGATCTATTCCACAGTTTTGACAGCCAAACCATTGTTGTATTTGTAGCACCTATTGAATTAAAGCTTTAATAACATTTATCTTTATTCTAGTGGGAAGTATGCACCAGGGAGCCTGTTGCCTTTTAATTCCTTTCCACAACAGCTCAACCTTGCTTAAAGCATCAACCCCTTCTCCTACACTAACATTCTGCTTGATTAAAATTCTACAAAGCAATGGACATTCTGGGGATTATGAGACTAAGTGCTCTTCCCTAAAATTAGAAATACAGCAATCATTATTGGGACCACCAGGAAGTTCCGGCTTTCTTATGCAGTGTGTAGTTCCCAGCAAACCTAAAACCACCAAGAGGACCGCAGCTGTTGTTCTCACACCTTGCTAAGACAGACCTTCTTCTCTGACTTTGTCAGGCAGCCAGAGTTGCCTTGGCCTTGCCAGGTGGGGGACAGGCACTTGATACAATTGTTAAGACGCTACTTGGGACATCTGCATCCTATATCAGGGTACCTGAGATTGAGTTCTGTTTGCTGTTCCAATACAGCTTCCTACTAAGGCACCTGGGAGGCAGCAATGTCCGAAGTACTTTGGTACCTGCTATTCATGTAGGTATCCCAGATTGAGTTCTTGGCTCCTGCCTTCAGCCTCATCTAGACGTGGCTGTTGCAGGCATTTGCCGGTGAGCCAGCAGATGGGAGCTTTCTCTATTATCTCTATCTCTATCTCTATCTCTATCTCTATCTCTATCATCTCTATCTCTCTCTGGTTATGCCTTTCAAATAAAAAAATAAACATTTTTAAAAGAAGAGCAATAAAAGGGTGGTAAACACAGAATTGTGAATGGTGCTTCTCCTCTTGGCAGGAGAAAAGATAGTAGAGGGAAGTAGTCACTGTGAAGGTCTAGGCAGCAGTCCACTGCTGAAGCAGGACAATGAGTCTCATCTGTGTTCTAACTGTTGTGTGTAATGTATCTTTGGGATTCCTTTGCTAGAAGTTTAGTGAATGTAGTGGATCTTTTAAAGCGTTTGAATGTCATGGTTTTCTGGATCCATAAGGTAAATTATTAGTTGAGGACAGCGTTTCCATGGCTAGCATTATTCAGCTGAGCCCTGTGATGTTGGTTCGTAGGAGGAGCACCGGATAGCCAACTCCCTTAGCAGCAGTGTTCTCACATGGACCAAGAAATCCAGCCTGGATTATTTGGCCCTGGACTTCAATTCAGCATCACCAGGCCCTGCACAGCAGGTAAGAAGACCTTTGTGTCTAAGAATTCCAGGTGATTCCATTTCAGCATAGAACATGGGTGCTCTCTTTAGAAGGTCTTAAAGACACAGCCGCACATAATGAAGAGTGTTAAAAGTCATCCTAATCCTCCTTCCAGAGAGAGCAAAATCAGGTTCATTTCCTCCAAGAGTATGAGCTTTGTGTGTTTGTTCTTCACAATTGGGATCATAAAGTGTAGAAGAAACTTTCTCAGAGTTGAGGGTGGGGCAGTGAGCAAGTATAGAGCTCATTTGGCTTTAGGGAATGGTGAAAATTCTAAGCTGGAAGTGGAGCCCCTCAGTAAAGGTCCTCGAATGCCAAGTTTGGGAATTTGGACTCCTTTGGGTGGCATTTTCCTCCATTACATGAGGATCAGAAATAATAACCCACTCTTCAAGGGTGAGCCTAGCTATTAGCTAGTATCATCCACTGCACAGTGTGAGGCCCAGAACAAATGGATGACAGCTAAATATTTTGGACCAAGGGATAATCATAATACAAACTGTGTCTAACAATATATTTTTTGGTGAAAAACAGCAACTCACTAGCCAGAGTGCACAGTAAGTGTGTGTGTGTGTGTGTGTGTGTGTGTAGAGCAAACTGTATAAGGCTTTCCTTCCCTTTTTTTGAAAAGCTCCTATATCTCCTCTACCTTTAATATCATCTCAAGCAAGCAGAGTATAGCTGGTCAGTAGAGTGTTCTGGAGCAGTGCACACAAATGACACAAATGCCATACAAGTCAGTTTGGGTGGACCGCACTCAAAAGCTGCACCCCCACTCAGCTGCATACAGCACCAGAGGCCCTTGCACTTGTGGTATCCTAGGGCCTTTGTGTTTTGGGTAGTCTTCAGTGCATGGACCAGATGGCACAAAATATTTTGTTCTCTCCCTTCAGAAATTTCTCCTTTCAGAAGAGCAAAGAGTAGACTACGTGCAAGTAGATGAGCAGAAGACACAAGCTCTTCAGAACACAAAGCAAGAGTGGACGGACGAGAGGCAATCCAAAGTGTGAGAGACGTGAGCTGAGGCCATGTGCCTAACAGAGAAGCTTGGGGTTCAGTCTGTGTTTTTTGCTGAAACCACACCAATGGCCAACAGAGGAGTAGAGAACTAAAAGAGAATGTGGAGTTTCCATGGTCTTGGCTAGATCCTTTAGGGAGTGGTCCAGTCATACCTACCCCTCCCCTGCTTCCGTTCTGCAAGTGCCCACAATCACAGGAGGCAGACATGGAAGATTCCACAGCTACAGACTGGAATATAGAAAACTCTATTCATTCAGGCAGGGTAGCAACAATAAAAAGAAGACTTGGTAGGACATTTTTACCAAAATTCTGTTAAAAAATCTCTCAAAGGGAGTATTTAGGGCAAAGACTGGGACCAGCATTGCAACCAACAAGATGACATCATTTGACTTCAATGCCTGAAATTCTGACCACTCCCTAGTCTTTTGATCATAATCATAAGTTAAACTCGCAACAGGACCCCTGGAGATTATGTTGTCCTAAGCCCTAAAAACACAATTGAGGAGATCAAGCGCAGTGATGATAGCAGAATGTGTACTCCACACTCCAAAGGCTCCATCAGAGCAATCATTTATATCTCCAAAGAAAGAACTAAAGTGGCAGGAGACATGGCTGGAAGGACACAGCCATTAAGCAGCTACCTATAGCCAGGTATTCTGTTGCTGCTGGCCTTTTCCAAGTATGCTTTCACAGACATCATGTCATCTCATCCTATAAAGACTTTGGGAGCTAGGCATGCCAGAGACTGTCACTCCCACTTTGAGGCAAAACAGAAACCAAAACTGAGAACTGGAAGAAGGAACACCTCGACAGGAAGCACTCACAGAGCTGAGCCACAGAGCTGCTTACAACAGCTTTGATGCTTGAAATGTATGTGTGTCTAGTGAAGGCTGCTTTATGCCATGTTTAGCTGGAACTCTAACATCATCCATCACTGCAATTAGAAATTCCTCCTGATGGATTAATGTGAAATCCATTCTTGGATCACACTACTATGCAATGTATTTCCGTATAAGCTGGCTAATGCTGGCAGAGGAATTTTTGCCACCTCAGAGAAGGCATAAGTCATCCCTGGTTGTCCTTTGATGGACTCAACCAAGTTTTTGAATGATAGAGAAGGCAAAACAAAAACAAAAGACAATGAATTTTCTTCTTAGGTTCCCTGGCACTTTTTCTTTTCTGCTTAAGAAATGTCTAGGTCCTGAGAGTGCACAGCACACCCCACCCTTGCTTTATGGGTCAAGAGGCCCAAGGGACCCAGAATGAAGGGCTCAATTGGGCATGAGTTTTCTTTAATGCCCCTTCTTGATCCTTCTTTTATACCTGCAGCCAGAAGATGTATCTGAACAACTGAGAATTAAGCAAATACCAGTCTGTGAGAAACAGTGTAGTTGGGGTAGTTGTAGATTCTTCCATAGGGCTTCAGGCTTTCAGAATGCACCAAAGGTAAGCAAATCCAAAGTCTTGGTTTTTCAGATCATACAATAAGTCATTTCAATTTTCAAAGCAGTGGACTCTGGGAGCATCATTTTCTTCCTAGGAGAAATTAGCAAGTCATCAACTGGGCTCACTGTCTTTAATTAGCCTGGATGAAGCAAGAATGGGGCTCCCCACTCCCCAATCCCAAGCCAGCTCCATGTCACCACACAGAGTACAGAGTCTGAAAGGAGCTGCTTGCTCCCCCAAGTGACCAGTATAAAGCCAGAGTGTCAAGCAAGAAGCCAGGGCTGCAGACTGCCAGTCTCCACAGATGGTAGTTTCCCTACCTGTGGGGCACTTATGTTTGGATTACTGATTAACTGGCAAAGGCTGGTGTAGAAAAATTGTAGCCCCAAGGGAAAAGGACCACAGTGGATTGAGGATAGCAAAGATGTTGTTGCTGAAATTGTATCAGCAGTGAAAGTAACCCTAGAAGTTAAGACAGTCAAGTCCCATATCAAAGTGCCTGGTTCAATTCCCAGCTGCAGCTCCTGATTCCATATTCCTGCAGACAGTAGGTGGCAGTGATGATGGCTTAAGTGATTGGGTTCCTGCCACCCATTTGAGAGACCCAGATTGAAGTCTAAGCTCCCAGCTTCAATGTGGCCAACCTCTGACCATCATGGACATTTGAGGAAGTGAACCAGCAGATGGTGGGCACTCACTCTATGTCTGTCTCTGTCTCTCTCTAACTCTCTGACTCTCAAATAAAAATAGAAAAAAAATTTAAAAATGAGTTTTGAAAAAGGTAATATCATCCTTCATTTCCAGGGTATATGCAATTATGTCCTGCTTTGACAAAACTGCTGAAGACTGGCTCTGTGAAGGCATGATAATTCAGGGAAGCAAAGTACAGGTAGTTTTTGAGCTGACAGCAGCATATGCTCCTGACAAAGGCATTGTTAGTCAGAACTATGCCAGCCAGATCTTGCCTTGTGGTGGAGATAATTGATGTGTACATAAGAGAGTATTTTTTGTTTGTTTGTTTCTGACCAAGGACCTGGAGTTTTCTAGAGAAATGATTCTAGAGACGATTCTGACTCCAGCGCACATTGAACAGTGGACACCTTCCCATCAGATTTGGGAATCAGTGGAACAGGGCAATGCAGCAATTAATCCCATATTGTTTTCTGTAGTTCCTTTTTGTTGTTTCCTTCTGTCTCATTTTATTAGGAAATCCCTCCAGATAAAGGCTTGTCCAGTGCAGGGGATGGAAGGGTCTCAAGCCTGCAATCTGGGAAGGCCACAATCCCAAGAATGCTGGCAGTTAAGCTTTTTTTGGGGGGAGGTAGGAGTCCTGAGGCTCCGCACAGAGTCTGGCAAAAACGCACAAAGTGACTCAGTGGATGTCACTGTCCAGGCCACCTTACCACCATCTCTTCCATCCTCCTCCCCTACCATCTCTGTACCCACCATTTAATTGATTTTTTGAATTCCTTTTGTTTTTACTGTTTCATTTGTGACATGAATAAAAGTCTTATACGGAGATATCATGACTTAAGTGCTGTCATTTGTTTTAAGTGATGACATCTGATGTAAACAAAGAACACATTTGAAAAACTGAATATTTGAAAACAGACTTCAATAGCATTTTCAGATACAAAAATTTAACCTTACTCATGTGCAATAGCCTACACGTGTTATCTCCCTGCTCAAACTGTAGGTTGACATCTTCCTTTTTATTCACCAGAAGCTAATGTAAATAATCGGCAGTAAAGTCACCTTCTCTCCCTGACATCATGTGTAACATGACTTTTATCATTGCTTACATGAAAAAGGAACAGCCCCTGATCTGCCTTTTCCCAGCAGGGGTCTCCCTGGTCACCATCTCTCTTTTCTCAGCTGCTCTGGGTGCTGGGTCAGTGTCATCTGTGGGCCACAAAGTGATGCCAGGCTACCAAAGTAGGCATGAATGGGGGCAGGGGAAGGGGGACAGACTTAAGTTAGGGGGAATAGAGGCCCAGGGGATCCCAGGCCTGAAAGGTGTAAAATTCTTTGCCCCTGGTGAAGTATGAAACTGACAGTGAACACTTTTTCCTCAGACACACACACACACACACACACACACACAAACATTCCAGACCAAGCCCCCAACCCAAAGAATAGCACGTTGGCCAGCAGGGCTGACCTGAGAAGCAGGGACATTGAAGTCTAAGCTACAGGGTCTTTGAGCCCCTGACCCATTATGCTCTGGCCCCTTACTTACCCCCTCTAAGCTTCCTCCTTCTCCTTTATTTCCCTTGATTTTAAATTGTGTTAGTTACTTTTTCTTTTTCAGTATGTTATTTGTTTTATAAATTTGGTTTTTATTTTCTGTGAGAGAGTATGATATTAGTGCCAGCTGCACAAGTGGGCTCACAGGGATAGAAAGCAGAGCTCAGATACACACCCGAGCACTTAATTTATGACAGAGGAAACACTGGGACAGGGTGGACAGCCTTTTTAGTAAAGATGCTGTGTCACTGGATGAGTAACCTAGATCCCACTCTGCTTCCACTCTTAAACATCAGTTCCAGGTAGATCTCAGTGGAAGAGACAGGACAACCTGCTCCATCTGTTCCCTTTGTTGGACCAGGTCCATTGTGCTGTTTTGGGCTTGCTTTCACAGCCAAAACTTCAAGTTTAATCAGTCTTAACCATCGTTTGCCCTCATTTAAAAGAACACAACCTAACTGCTTTATGTCTCTCATAAAAATTCAAATAATTGGCCGGCGCCGCGGCTCACTAGGCTAATCTTCCGCCTGCGGTGCCGGCACCTGGGTTCTAGTCCCGGTTGGGGCGCTGGATTCTGTCCGCGTTGCTCATCTTCCAGGCCAGCTCTCTGCTGTGGCCTGGGAAGGCAGTGGAGGATGGCCCAAGTGCTTGGGCCCTGTACCCCATGGGAGACCAGGAGGAAGCACCTGGCTCCTGGCTTCGGATCGGCACAGCACCGGCTGTAGCTGCCATTTGGGGGCTGAACCAACGGATAGGAAGACCTTTTGCTCTGTCTCTCTCTGTCTGTCTAAATCTCTGCCTGTCCAAAAAAAAGAAAAACATTAAAAACCTTTAAAAAATTCAAATAATTTTCATTTTTTGTTCTTCAATTTACATTTTTAATTCATTTTCATTCTCTATGTTGATAGAAGTCAGTATGGTGCTTACTTCTACTGGGGAGGTTATTATTGACCAAAACTTCCTGGAATGATGGAAATGTTCTGTATCTCAGTCTGGGAAGTGGTTGCATGGATACATATAAAATTTATTAATCCATGCAGGTAATATTTGTACATTTATTGAATGTAAAGTATACTTTAACAACCAGTTGATATTCCCAGGGCATTAGGAAGCTAATGTAAGAAATGCAACTCTAAAAAGTATGAAAAAGTACAGAAAACTTTTATTATTTTTTAAGAATCCAATCTGGGCTTTTTTTTTTTTAAAGATTTTGCTTATTTTTTTTTAGAGAGGTAGAGTTACAGACAGAAGGAGAGACAGAGAGAAAGGTCTTCCATCTGCTGGTCTACTCCCCAAATGGCCAAAACAGCCACAGCTGGGTGAATGCAAAGCCAGGACACAGGACCCTCCCTCTGGGTCTCCCATGTGGGTGCAGGGGCCCAAGTACCTAGGCCATCTTCTACTGCTTTCTCAGACCATAGCAGAGAGCTGGATTGGAAGAGGAGCAGCCAGGACAAGAACCAGTGCTCAGATGGGATGCCGGCACTGAGGTGGAGGCTTAGCCTACTCTCCATGGCGTTGGCCTTGAAGCTTTTTTTTTTTTTTTGGATAAAGATTTATTTATTTATTTGAAAGGCAAAGTTACAGAGAGGCAGAGGCAGAGAGAGAGAGAGAGACAGAGAGAGAGAGAGAGAGCATCTTCCATCCACTGGTTCAATCCCCTAATGGCAACAACAGCCAGAGATGGGCCAATCTGAACCCAAGAGTCAGGAACTTCTTCCAGGTCTCCCACCTGGGTGCAGGGGCCCAAGGACAGGGGCCATCTTCCACTGCTTTCCCAGGCCATAGCAGAGAGCTAGATCAGAAGAGGAGCAGCCAGGACTCAAATTGGCATCCATATGGGATGCCAGCACAGCAGGCGGTAGCTTTACCCGCTAAGCCACAGCACCAGCCCCATGGCCCTGTAGCTTTTATTTCTTGAGTATGGAAGTCGTTCAGCAGAGGGACACACCAGACAGAAGCAAGCAATATTTACTTTGATTCAATACCTGCTGCACAATAGGTACTCTTGTGGGCGCTGTGGACACATGCATGAGTCAAAGATGTCTTTTTTTAAGGAGCTCACATTATGGCAGGATGTGGTGAAACTGTTTAGTGCTCCACCCAAATCCTCTGGGACCCATTTTTCTATTTGGTGTGCTCCTGTGCAGCCTCAATGTACTGTTGCTCCAAACGGTTCACTCCCCTGGGATTTTTTTTCTCAGAAGACAGACCCTCAGGTTGCTAGAGCTGCTTTACCTGCTAGAACAGAGAGCTGGAAGTGCCTTTGAGTTGACCTTCTGAGGAATGCAGCAGTCAATAAAGCCCAGCCCCAGGGGCCCCTTCTTGTCTCTGAACCATTTATGTTGTTCACCACAGATCTCACTTCATGTAACAAAAAAGAAAAGGGCATCCAGATCCTGCAGGATTTGTTTCTTTTCATTCCTCAGCACCTGACTGCAAGTCCCTAGACTCCATTGTCATTTAACATGCTTAAGTTCCTCTCCCCTGCTCCGCCCTAGCCCCAGCTCCGGTCCCCTCCTGCTACAGCAGTGTCCCTGGCTTGCAGAGACACACACCTCCGGGCCAGACCCGCCCCCTCCCCTGCCTGAGCCCAGCGTACCTTTCCCGTCGATTTCACCCCTTTCCAGACACAGAAGTAGACCAGCACCCAGCAGGCCAGCAGACACAGGGTCACCTCCCAATTGAGGGCCCCCGGCACCTCCAGCCCCCCTGAGAGCCACAACACTTTGTTCCTAGGAGAGGGAGAGCACAGGTGGGCTGACTGGGGTCTGCCCCGAGGGGTCATGGCTCTTTCCCCCTGAAGCCTGTCGAGATGGTATGCAAGGATCCTGGGAGACCCTGGCGGGTGGGAGGTGGTGTCGTTGCTGATTGCTTGAGTTATAACTTGTTACAGGGGTCCCCAATGGCCCGGGAGACCAAGAGAAGGGCTGGAAGCAGTTTGAGTTGGGGGTGCAGTGAGCAAGTGGGGGCTGTAACTGGGGAGTTAGGGCAGGGTGGGACCTGAGCTGCCAGAGTAATGGTGTGGGGTGACCAGCTTGAGCGGAGACAGAGGCAAGGGCAATACTATCCAGAGTGGCCTAAAAGTATGAGGTGGCGAGGTTGCAGACAGCAGGGGCAAGCCTCACAGGAAGGAGATCTGCGGCACAGGAAAAACAGGTAGTGTGGATGGTGTCTGAACTGTATGTCTTAGTTACTATTCTAGTGTCTTAGTTTCTTTTTACCTACAACACCTCTCCATTGTTCCTGGGGTTGCAAGAAAGATTTGGAGATTTGGATTTTTTTTTTT